GAATTGACGAGATTGCTTACGAAACTAGAACGACAGAGGCTCTTATTGGAAGCGGCGGAACCATCGAACATTATGAATCAGTCGCCGCCGCCACCGCCCCTGTCCCCAGCAGCCACAAAACGAGTGACAAAAAAGACAGCTTCCACACCGGCTCTGGTTAAACCGAAGGGCAAGCCTCGAAAGCCTCCACATTCTGAAGAGCCTGCACAACCAGAAGCGCCAACTGTATCAAACGCAGAAAAAACGGATAGAGTAAAAGTCTGTCCTGAATCATTGGAATCTAAACCGCCAGTTAAAATAAAAACTTCTCCCGAGTTTGTAGATTTACCGCAGCCAGTCAGACGCCAATCCCCGATATTAAAACCCACTACGAATGAGAACCGCGAAGCATTGAACATTGCAAAAAAGAGAAAGGCTTCTGAGGAAGCTGAGGGTACGACTAAGAAGGTGAACATTGGTGTATCGCCGAGAATATTCAACAAGAATGATAAAAATGATTGGTTCTCCGTCGAGAGGTTAACGGATCACGAAATCGAAGCCGAAGAGTTGGTGGAATATATTGAATATGTTTTACAAAATCCGCAGTTAGCATCGAAAACAATACAAGCGTGCCATAAAATCGTCAAACGAAGACCTGATTTTTTCCATCAACGCCTCGAGGACGTGTTTCGTGCATTGAACACGCCGTCCTTTATAAATCCTGCAGACAACAATTTCCAGGAAATCGATTTTGAAAAAAGCGGGAGAAAATATAAAATGATTGAGAAAGAAGCAAACATGGCCTCCTTTATTTTACATCTCGTAACGGTATTTGGCAAAGATGGGGTTTTTATGAAATATTTTGAATGGGCTCGCACAAAGATTGTTTGCAATCCTGATCGAGAAATGGAACTTACACTTGTATGGTAAGTTATTTTGGAATTGGCTTATATCTCTGTACAAATGCTCACATGAATATTTCTTATTACAGTCGTATAACACGAGTTTTAGTTGTCGTGAACGATCAAGTGGCGGGCGAATCTGATTCGAGAATCCTCGTCATGATTTATGATTTGTTTCGTGAAGGCTCAAAACTGAACTACGCGTTGAACATACTGGAAAACATAGCGCGTGTTAATCCTCGTGTAGTGAATCAACAGAAGGGTTTAAGAACGAGGAATGATCTCGGCCACGGTAGATAATATTCTGAATTAACAATACATAATCATTTTTTGTCACGTGCAAATGAGATTAATCTAAGATCTTACCTTTTTTTGTATAGATCGATTCGGTTTTCCTGATTTACTTGAAGTTATAGGAGCACAACTTTGTCGCGCCAAGCAGAACGACGAAATGGTCATTAAAGTATATAATTCAATTTCAAGACATCTTGGTTGGAATCGACCGGAAGACGTGAAAACTGTTCAACACATTATGGACCATCTGTTAAAAATCCTGCACAGCGAAGAGTTTAAGAAAGACCTAGAATCGAAATCACAAGGAAGAGGTAAATTTTACGTTTCTTCCGGTTTTATGTAAAGCAACCTCCCCCTTTTTTTTAATACTCATACAGTTGACTACAATGCAACGTCTTATTTGGAATAAAGCTCAATCCCAAGCAGCATATTTAAAATTGGGTATTGGATTAGCCGCACAATATTGCCCGACGGGGGAAATACCTAAAATAATCAAGGAATCACTCTTGCCGTTGAAGAATGATGTATTGCGATGCGAACTGGTCGCGGAGATTGCGGCACAAATCTGTCGGGCAGGCATCCTTGACACCAAAGAAGTTCAAGGAACTGAAGAGTTGAGACAATGGATGAGAGAAGAAATACATTCTCGTAAGTGAGACGTCCGATGATAGGTTATCTCCAACCATATATCATCTCTTATCATTATTTCCGCCGTACGCGGATTCCGTTATTAATGACTGCTACTAAGAATTCGTCTGTATGTTCTGTTCTCATACTAGAAATCAGTCCTCAAAATTCGGCGGCAACGTGGTCGATGAAGAGGCTATGTGCAAAGATACTCTTAAGATTATCATTTGGGTCTGTTGCCAGAGTCTCAGAAGTAGTAGAATGGTTTGAAAAGTTGTCGGCAGAGGAGAAACTGAAAACTGATCATGGACTTGCTCAAGAATTGGCAAGCATCAGAGCCATCGCAAAGTGTTAGAGTACTTTTGCCTTTTTTTTTTAAAAAAAAAATAATTGTAAAATTTTGTAAACAATTGTAAAGAAATCTCCATCAAACAACTAACGTTCCCGATCGTTCTTGTAAATAAACATGTTTTAATTTAATAATTAGGTAAAGCTCGCTTCATTATTACAATAATGACTTGGCAAATCTATATGTCAAGGCCATGCTAGCACGCTCAACTGATGTCATTACTTCTCTTCTTTTTCTTTCCACTTCCATTACCTTCACCATTCCCACTCTTTACATTGCCGCTCTTTACTTTCTTCTTCTTCTTTTTTGCCTTCTCATTACTTCCAATAGCAATCTCACCGTGAATACGTTCTTCACGATTACGACTATCTCCAACTCTTCCTCGACTAGCTTTATCTTCATTCGCAAGTTTACTACTCTTCTTTTTCTTCTTAATGTCTTTACTGTCTCTCATCACGGATGGCTGTATGTCACTGACGTTGGACTGTTGCCAGTGGGCAGCAGATGACAAGTCACCATACTCAAGAAATGACCTTGGGTGATGAAGATGTTGCCCAGACTCGGCCCACGGATTATCACCGGCCGGTGAACCGCTACTGATTTCCTCATATCCTGTACGAGTACTGAAAGACGCCGATACCGAGGGATCTAACTCTTCATCCTCTCTCGTTTGCAGCATTTCATCGCCAACATCACTGCTCCCACTGCTTACGACGCCACCGCGTCCGGTCGATGAGGCTATAGTGTCTCGTCTGTGCCATATACCACTTTGAAATTCCTTTTTTGATCTATCACCTTCACCCTCTGATTCACCACCACTGCTTCCTTCTAAATCTTCATCACCTGCCACCATTGGATTGCCACCCGCTGCGTCATCAGAGTCAACAGCTGTGGGTCGAGGAGGAATGGGCAGGGTTTCTGGAGTATCGTCAAAAAAGTCATCTTCCAACTTTCCCGCATTGAAATCATAAAGCTGTGATGGATCTGGAGTGCGCACTTTTTCACGTTGAATGTGGAGAGATGGTAGGAGCTGGGATGAGAGAGCATCCAAAGTATTATCTGAAGATTATTGACAGAGAGCGAATTAAACCAGGTTAAGCGTTCGCCACAAACTAGTAACATGAACGTGCAGGCTGTTCTACCTTCACGAGTATTGCTTTCTCCTCCTAATTCATGAAATTCCTTTTCCCAAAAACTTTTCAGCGCCTGCTGATACTCTAATTTTCCTTCCATAACTGACGATTTATGATAACGTAAATCTAGTGAGCTTACAGGGAACAACAATACTCAAAGCAGAAGTCATGCATGTGTATTTACAGGATTTGTCTTCTATTGAGTTATTTTCTGGTAATTCACTGGGGGCCGGAATTTCCACGTCTGCGTCAAGTTCATTAAGTAAATTTGATATCTCTTTCGATTTTTCTTCTAACTGTTGACTAAGGATATCCCGCTAATAACGTATTATACGTAGATTAACATTATTGTCAAATTATATGTGATGGGCCTTAAAACATTTCTAACGTAAAATTGACGTACCTGTAGCTGTAAGAATGGTACTCCAAAGTACTTATAGATGTAATCAAGTCCTAATCCAGAGAGCATGCTCGTCTCAACATATCGTATTTTATTTGCTGATGTATGATTAGATGATCGATTTCCATTGCATTCTGTAATTACTTGATATACATGTGCAGTCGAAACTGTTCTCTGTGCGCTTAAAATATAAGATATGGTGGAGAAAGTTCAAGATATGTTACTAAGGTAGGATGTTCATATGAAGAATTGACAAATATACGAATCATTACAATCTCTATACATACCTACCTGAGATCAGCGAAATTTCCCTGTTACAAGTAACAAATAGAAAACATAAGTATCTCCACTTGGTACATATTGAATGTTCTCTGATGATATTTTCATTGGATAACATACTAATAAAAGCACAGCCATATGATCCGGCACCGCTATTAACTCTCTAACCGCATATTCAAAAGTCCACTTCTTCGTTATATCAAACATCAGAATAACTCCTTGAGTGTTCCGATACACGTTGACGTTCTCAGCATCAAGAGCAAGTTCATTTGGCTCCTTCGAAGGTGTAGGCGGTGTTTGCTTAGAAACCCCCACATCTATATCACGTGAGAAATTAATAATTGCCTGACAATTGATTTATAGTACGAATAAGCTCAATGTAATCTCCGGTATACCGTTTTCAAATTTCAGTCCCACTGAGCTAGACTTTACAGTTGACGTGTTTGTCGCTTTATCAACAACATCCCATATCTCCACTTTTATTACATCATCAGTGTTATTATATGTCCATTGTATGTTAGCAACCTCGATCTGAGGAGTGGCTGTATACCCTTCTCGGAAAGGTAACCCTTGCAGTCTATGAACTTATAATACAGAACTCTATCTACGTCAGTAAAAGTAGATCAAGTAAATCATACAAACACAAAAGCGTAAACATACACAGAGTTGATTTTCCCGTACGAATGTCACCACGTATTATAATTTTCACTGTGAATAATGAGGAAAACTTTGATTAGAGAAAAGCGTCAAAGAAATAGACATAACGCTATTGTCAGCATTTTAATTACTTACTATTATATTTGACGCCTTTTCCAAATCTGCCAAGCATTGGCTTGACGTGGGGCGCTAGAGGTCCGTTATTTACCGCCTTGGCTTGTTCATTGCCCTAAATGTTAAGCAGATATAGTCAATTATCCGTTTCAAACCAACTTTTAGCTACATAATGCTTTACCATTTTGAAAAAACCGCTTTTTGGCCAAATTAGCTTGTGGGGAATCTGGATATTAATATCTATCTGTAGTGACGTCTGCAAATCAATGTCGATCATTTCCCCTAAATATAAACTACAGGTTGAGAATGCACGTGTCATGGCATATTACTGTAATACAAGCTCTTGATATAAGAAACACTAATTAAAATTTGATATAAGAAAGTTGAGCTGGAAAACAGTCTATATAAAATTATCTCTATATAAGAAAGTTACTAATAAACTCTCGGTATAAGAAGGATTCTAAAATTTTTTACTATGGGTCCCGATTACTTTCTTATATCGAGAGCCACTTGTACTTATTATTATTATTGCCCCTTCTTCTCTTCTAACTAAAAAAAAAAAGAAATGACGACCGTCGAGGAACAACTGAAACTTGCCAACAACTCGTACAACAGATGCGTCCAGAAACTAGATAGGCTGGACGCTCTGAGAACTGGGGAGGTAGAACGCTGGGAGGGCGAGAAGAAGGAGTTGGAAGCACAGAAAGGGGAGTTGGAAGCTGAAAAGAAAAGATGGGAAACAGACATACACGACTTGAACCGCAAGCTTCCAGCAGCTTCAACAGGTAACGACTTTGTGACTCGGGCGTTGGGGACATAGAGTAGTGTGTACATAGGGTAGAGTAGACAGGGTAATATGGTTTTATTGTAAATTTGTTAGTATTAGGTCATTTCACCTTAATAACTCATATCCATGCATGTATCGCAATATCATTAGACGCCGGACAAAAGCGTAAAGGAGACGCAGGTATGTTGTGCCTACTCAGATGATTCAGAGGCACCCGGGAATCCGCTTGTAACTTGAATATATTATTCGCAGAATTTGGTCGTCCTACAAAGAAGTATCGGTGTAATATTTCAACTGAAGGACCAATACGCCCAGGGGCCTCTACCTTAGTGTTGCCCTTTCTTGAGCGGAATATTTTCACACAGGTGATAGATGGGCTTTGTGACGAATGGAAATCATTCATCATTCACGGACCATACCAATCTGGCAAGACAACATTCCTGCTTGCACTCGAAAGAGTACTCAAGAATTCTAATATAGAACCTATATATTTTGAAATGACGGGAGCAAAGGGTAGTATCAATAAATATGGCTATGCAGATGGATTTACTAGATTTATATCAAATATCATTTTTGAGAAAACACTCGCGGAAGAAGAATTGTATAGTCAGATCATGAAAATGGAAAAACGGCTTATCTTGCTTGCCGATGAGTTACAATACATCTTTACATCTGGTGGCCTTCTCTCCGTAGTAAAAACTTTCTTTAAAAACATCACATCACGCAGTAATATTTCCTACGTTGCCGCAGGCACTTTCAAGCTCATTGATCTCATGGACAATACGACGTATGGTCCACCCATGGAAAACGAATGTCTTGAATCACCTTTTAACAGGGCCAAGTTCTGTAGGATACCATTCTTTAATGTGCAAGAAATGGACAAAATTTTCAATTTATATAATGATAAAGTCGACCCGGATCCGGATCCTTTGGATATCAAACTAAATATCATCCACGAGTCCTGCGGACATCCTGCGTCTTTCATGATTCTTTTAAAAATCTATAACGATATAGATATTCGTCCAGCGACTTTACTCGATTGGAAAGTGGTAATAAAGCAGAATCTTATCGAATATACCAACGGAACTCACAAAAAAATCAAGAAATATCTGATATCGATGAGTGACGATCAAAAACAGTGTGTTCGCTCACTCACAAACAATGGGATAGACACTTGGACGGCAGATTTGGCCCTTCTCGATCATTTAGAGAAAGATTTGCTTAACTTGGGATCCTCGTGTCTCTCAACGAGCAAAGTATTCGGTTTACAAGTTGCGTCATCTTGCGTGTCTGCATTGAAAATCTCTGGCCGCGACCAAAAAATCGTTTACTAGAGTCAGACCTGGTTTCTGCTGAAAACTTGCTAAAATATGGATTACAAAATATTTATCCCCCTACGGTCGCGCACGAATGGGTCCAAAACAAGGAAGGCCCTGCTGAAGCGAGTTTTCAGGCCGCGCTTTATTCCGTTTTCAATGGCCTACTTCCCATGAGTATGATGTGCTTGTTTGAAATAAATGCCCATGGCAAAAAAAAACTTGATCTGTTGGTGGTCAAAGATAGTGAAAGATTAGAGAAATGGGCCGGCTACGAACTAAAAGTCAAGAAGATATCTGAATCGGATTTTAAAGAACCTCTAAAACAAGCTAAAAAATATGCTGATTATTTTAAAATGGACATTCATCTCGTCAACTTTTATCCGGAGAACGTTCACCCAGTATTTCCAACTATTGCACGCGTACCTGTATTAAATGTTGCATGCAACACGAATTGCACAGAATTTACAATTCGTTCACCCAAAGAGGATGAGGGGATCAAGGTTAACAATATTCACGATAATTATCATTTCCATATCTAGTTATGATGTTTGCTTCGCTTCCTAATTCCAAGCTTGCAAGTTCATGGTAGCTTTCCAGAGTGCAAACACATCTGCAGCAATAGAATACACTCTCCATTCATTGTATTCTTTATCGTTATGATGACAATGGTCCATTTCTCTCTTTCATTATTTTCATTTTATTTGCTCGTATCTATTATTTGTGCTGTATATACTTGAGTAGCGGGAAGTCGTAGCTCAATAAAACTATAGTGTTTTGTATTTGGTAAGAGTTCCTGCAAGTTATCCAGGCAATATACTGTATGTCGATATACCAAAAAAAAATTTTTTCTTTCGATTGAGTCTACCGTTCGGATTGAACGGTGTGATGCTTTTTGAAACCTTTGACCCTTCGCAAAAGTCTTACTCTGCTGTAGTGCCCAAAGATTTAAAATATCAACGAATGAATTGTAACAATGTCAGAATAGTGTAATTCAAATGGTCAAAACTTTGGAATTATTATTATTATACTACAGTATAACTTAATCGACATTGATCATTAATATTATATTGTTATTAACATTAAATTAATTATACGAATACTCATTCATAGTGACTTTCAATATTGATATTCTGTGTCTATTACTTATTACTAATGTAGCCCTTCGCCTCCTAGCGTGGTATGCATTTACATCGGCGATAAACAAGCCACCACATTTACACAGTATGATAGTATTGGATAAATTTTACATCATATAACGTAATGAGTAAACACTTCCAAGAACTGTAAGATATATGGGGCATGCTGCAACAAAACCAGACAAAGTGAACATTCTGTTTTGTGACATAAACGAGAGATGTGGCTGTAAAATTGACCTGATGACTTTTTGAAAAGTAATAATGTGACAAAACAATCATTTGTTCAACTGTAAAATATAATAAAAATCATTATTGTTATGATTCGAATGAACACTTTATTCACAAATTTTGGTCAGAAATTAGGATAAAAATGACTGGCATTATCGTTTTCCAAATTGAGATATTGTACAACATACGACGATGATGAAAATTTGCGTAACAATGACGGTCTGGTGGCTATCATCTATAAACCGCACTAATGTCACATAATTTTCAAACCTTATAAGTTAAAAACAAATAAACCCATTGCAAATCTAAACTGATAGAATGATAAATTAAAACAAGCTGAACATTTTTATCAGTGTACTTTTATAAAATGTTATGCAAAATTTTAAGTTATTACTAGTGTATAACCCGTCAGTGTGGTTATTTTATATTTTACATTTATACTTTTATTTCGCCAACGTTATCCATAAATATAAACAAAGAAATGATGAACATGTGATAGTAATCTATTGGATAATTTTGTAAGAAGTTGGTCAAATAATGCATATTTAGAGAGAAAAAAACGTGGACCTTACCTTACAGGAAAAACAAAAAAACCAACCTATTTTGACAAATTACTATAGCATTACTGGAACCTCAGACATTGCAATTATAGATAAGAGCTTCTTAGTTAGTTTGTGGTCAGTTGGTGGATTAAAGGTAGTGTTCGAGTTGAAAAAGAAACTCATTCGTCAAAACGTCTATCAAGCTATATTAGAGACAATTTTGGCAAACGCACTTTCAGCTTACGCTGTGTTGGTAGTACTCACTGATTTGAAAAACATTTGGCATTTCTTCTGGCTTCAAGAATTTGAAATTACTGAAATTGTTGTTTATGACATACTCGAAGCCATAACAATAATTGAATGTGCAGTAGCAACTGAAGAAACTCAAGGTCCCAATACCAAGGCTCCACCATTTGATGTATCAAATTATGGAAACTTGATAGAATAGATAAGAACAGGCGTAATATAGATTGGGTAGATGACTGTGATGATGATAATGATGTTGCACCAATTACCAATGCGTGATGTGTTTGATGTGAAGAGATCAGGTCTTGGAGATTGAAGAGGTTGGGAAGAGCTTTGATAAATAGTCCCTGGTTTCAACTGATTTTGTCTGAATACAATCAAGTCACTAGATAGTAACTCTGTAATTGTAATAGTGTTGTGTATTATTAAAAGATTTGGGACAAATCATGTAATAATTATTAGACATGCTTACTTTTACAATTAAACCATATGCAAAATCCATTTGAGAATTAAAGATTTTTCCTGTTGAAAAGAATTGGGAATCAGGGCGCTATAAATTAGAAGATAAGAAAAAAAGACATGTAGACTGACTGAATGAACTGATACAAAGTCAAAATACAGTAAAGACATGTTTAATAAACCTGCTTGCCACTTGATAATTAATTTTTCCTTCAAGCATCTTTTGTCAGTCAGTGTCTCATTGTTCTTGGATTTTGGGCTTGCAATGCCCCATTGTGTGTGCGCTGAATGACGATTGAGTGACGTATAGGAGATACATGAAGTACTTTTGAAGTTTATGGCAGTGGCTTCGATCACTGCTCTCGATGTAGCTAATACAATGAATTCCACACTATAATGTACGTGTGATGATTGTTACCAGTACACGCTAAAATATTAAAATTTATATATAGAATTATCTGTACATGAATAATAATAATTACAACGGTTCAACCGAATATGAAAAAGCAATGCGTTTCTTGAAGATAGGTTGCAATTGTGGTTGTTCAAAAAAGATTGTGAGAGAAAAGTTTGCTGAATTACATGAGGCATTTCAAGCTCTCTCTAAATCCGAACAAGATATATTTTTAATGGCCCAGCTGAAAGCAATGAATGGCGGAGAAATAACTGCCAGCCGACGTCTTAAAAAGAAAACGCGTACTAATAAACTTACTGAGATTGCAATACGCCTCTTTGCCAGAAAACGTATCTCAATATGTTAGGAATTGGTGGCACTCACTTCGAAATTACCTGACGAATGGTATAATACCGCGCGTTTGTGGTAACATAACCGCGATGGAAACCTAAAATAACCATTAATATAATCGTTGCTGCTACCGTGAAAAAATTTCTCGAAAACTATGCTGAAGTTCATGGGTTGCCGAATCCTAGTAGAAGTGTTAATCGCATTACTCAATCACTTACATTGTTGCCAGTCGAAACGAGTTATAAATCGGTCTATCGCAATTTTATTGCTGGTCTCGAAAATAAATGGTTAGAATATGGATGCGTTCCGCAAGCTATGGCATCAATTAACGCCTTATGAGTCCACGAACGGATTTATGTAAACATGTGCCAACATTTTCGGAACGGCTTACAGTATAATGTTCGTAAGGAAGAAGAAGCGAAAGATTTACTGAAAATTCAAAGATACGAAATTAGCAGAACAACAGAGAAAATTAGTGCGTCCAGCGGAAGTTGTACGAGTGGATGTTAAATCAGTCCTTAATACTAAACAAAATCGCTTATTATTCTCTGATGAGCATTTTAGAACAAGAGGTAAAGCTTATTATTATAGTGTTGATGCGACTGCTCATTACAGTTACGATTGAGCAGAAAATGTTCACATACCCCATTCCGATCAACGTTTATTAAGGCACATTTATTTGGTATTCAAGATGAAGCAGTACGCGAACAAGTTAATTACGTTCTCGATAAAGACGAAATTATCGGCAAAAGGCCCTAATGGCACGCTAAGCATGATGTTTGATGGAATAAAGAAATTGAATAAAGGCGAGAAACATCTAAAGATCACTTGCGAGGACAGAATAAAAACAATGCCACTATTTGATATTACCCATATTTAGTAATCTGCGGCTATTACTGTATTATGAAAGTATCGAATTAAATTTTATGGTACCTGGGCATACTAAATTCAGGTGTGATATGTGATGGTAGTTTTGTATTGATTAAAAAGCTCTATAGAAAAACAACAGTAGATTGCGTGGGTCATATTGTTGAGGTTGTAAAAAGATCAAGTACAGCAAGATTAAACAAAGCTCAGTGTTATGACAACGGCAAAGGCTTTCAATACTTCGATCCTAATTCCGTGTTGGAAATTTTCTTTAAAAAATTGAATGGTTTACAAAAATATCAGCATTTTGTGGTCGAACCGGCTCGACCTGGAATTGTCAAAGCTCAGCTGGTTTGCTAATGGTTCATATACCGAATTTAATTTATTGAAAATCAGAACAAATGTTTCTGAAACTAGCAAGGAAATTAAATCTTTTTCTATTTTAGTTTCAATTCCGTCTCTTTTGGATTATAAAAGGCAAGATATCTTTATCATAATATTCGCCCATTTGTTAGAGATGAATTCAAGGATATTACTTGTCCAAGACCAACCTATACTGATAAAACATTTCGGTCAACCGCAAATTTTATTACTTTATTAGTTTATTTTAATATTAAAATATAATATATGAATTAAACCAAAACAATATTTTAACCGAAGAAGAAATAAAAGAACTAATTGGTAGTTTAAACCAAAATTCAAGTGAAGCAGAGATAAGGGCAGTTAAAGATTACTTTTGACTTTGCCCTTATGCATTAAAACACTTAGTAGACAGAATTTAGAAAAAGTTTTGTTCGTCTTATTTACAGTGCATCATAATACAATGTCTTGATGAGTAAAAGCTGATAAAGAAGTTAAAGGTTTACAGTCACTAACAACTGGTTTAGAGAAAGAGAGAAATGAATTGCTTGAAATAAATAAACAGTTAG